TCCATTCTCCTCTCAGGATCTTGGGCACGCATGCACACATGCCCGGCATGAGTTTAAGCCTCTGGGTCCGGGACTTGTACCGCAGTCAACTACGTGGGAGTCCAGTGACGTAGCCATTAAGCTAACTGCTGGTCCCACTTTAAGTAATTTTTAAAAAGAATTATTTATTTTATTTATTACTACTTTAAAAAATTTTTTGCTTTAGGGCATGTGTAAAAACTGTTATTGATAGAAAATAATTCATCATGTTATTAAAATTTCTTTTTTTTCTTTATAATTGTTTAATTAATTTGTTTATTTTAGTTTGACCCGAGAGAGAGAAAAAGAAGGTGGGTGGGTAAGAAAGCAAGCTGCCAGGTCCGGGACTCGAACTGCAGGTCAGCCATGTAAGAATCTAGCACCTTAATCACTATGCCATCTGCTGGCCCCTGATAAAGTTTCTTTTTCCTTTTCTCTTTTTAATTTGCTAAAGGGTGTTGTGTATGCTCAGTAAAGAGACAGAGAGGGTGAGGGAGAAAGCACCCCCCTATGGGGAATGATCATGCTACAATTCCTTTTCCTCTTTTTTTTTTTTTTTTGAGAGGTTTTCGCTATAGGGTGCGTGCGCTCGCCAGACAGACTGAGAGAGACAGAGAGACAGAAAGCGAGAACTCACCCCCCAGGGGGGATGGCCACACTGCAATCCCTTCTCCTCCATTATCCTCTCAGGATCTTGGGCACACATGCACATGTGCCCGGCGTGAGTTTTAAGCCACCAGGTCCAGGACATGAACCGCGGTCAACTACATGGGAGTCCAGCAACATAGCCGTTACGCTAACTGCTGGTCCCTACAATTCCTTTTCCTCTGTTTCTCCATCCTGCTGGGATTTTGGACACGTGTCTGGTATGTCTTTCAAGATGCTGGGTCCAGGATTCAAACAGCATAGTTGGCCATAAGGGATCCTGTTCCTCTAATCACCAGCCCCTTGGGTTGGGCCAAGATTTTAAAATCTTGGGACCAGCAGTTGGCATAATGGCTATGTCACTGGACTCCCACGTAGTTGACTGCAGTTGGAGTCCCGGACCTGGTGACTTAAACTCACGCCAGGCACGTGTGTGCGTGCATGCCCAAGATCCTGAGAGGAGAATGGAGGAGAAGGGATTGTGGCGTGGCCATCCCCCCGGGGGGTGATTTCTTGCTTTCTGTCTGTCTCTGTCTTTCTGGTGAGCGCACGTGCCCTATAGCAAAAAGCTCTACCCCCCAAAAAAGATTTTAAATTCTTGATTTATATATTTTTTTCCATAAGTATGTTTTAGAAGGTATTACAGGCACAGTATTCCTTTTCTAGCTAAGAAATATATCTTGGAAATTAGTCAGAATAAGTATTTATAATCAAAATCTTTTTTTTTTTTAACTCATAGAGAGGTTTTTGCTGTAGGGTGCATGTGCTCACTGGAAAGACAGAAAACCATACCCCAAAGGGGTATGACCACACTGCGCTCCCTTCTCTTCCATTCTCCTCTCTGGATCTTGGGCACACATGCACAAACAGATGCACGTGCACCTGGTGTGAGTTCTAATCTTCCAGGACCACTCCAACTGTGGTCGATTTCATGGGAATCCAGCAACATAACCATTACACCATCTGCTAGTTCCCAATATCATTTATTTAACTTTGATTTTTTAAAAAAAGAATTATTTAATTTTATTTATTGTTATTATTTTTTAATTTGACCAAAGAGAGAAAGGGAAAGTGAGAAAGCAAGCCACCAGGTCTGGGACTCAAACCACATTCAGCCATGTTGGAGTCCAGCACCTCAACCACAACACCAGTTGCCAGCCCTTAACTCTGATTTTTGAATGTGAAGAAAAAGCAGAATTTTTCTCCCTTACTGAAATTTTTTAAAAAGTTTCTAGAAATAAGAGAAACTTCAGTAGTACTGATATCACTGTTTATGCTCTGCTTTCTAAGTATTTACTGACTATAATGTTTGTGTCTTGTAGAATGGAGATGTATGCATTTCAATTCTTCATCCGCCTGTAGATGATCCACAGAGTGGAGAATTGCCTTCTGAAAGGTGGAATCCTACTCAGAATGTGAGGTAAGGTGCTACAAAAGGAATAATCTGGTTTTTGGGTGAATTTTGTGGTCTCCTAATTACTTCCGCTGTTAGTAAAATAAGATTATATATTGTTTTTTCACCTGTACAGAAAAATTATTCCTATAGTTGATTTGTCTTTAGCTTGAGCTTTAAGAAGTATGTATGCATTATTTAGAAGAGTTGTTTTTACTGAGTCATAATATATATGATTTTTACTTCTCTATGTTTATTATGAAAGAAACTTTCTGATCTAGGTTCTTTCTCTTACATTATCTGTGTTCCGCCCTACTTTTTTTGGTCACACGATATTGTATGCTTGGATTCATTGTTTCCATGTTTTTATTACTTTTTGTAAAAATGTTTTAGTCTTTACAAACTCAAAATTGACTTTTGTATATACTAATTTACAAAGAGCTTTTCTTTATCTGGTATGTTTTCTGTGTGTGTATATACATATATATGTATACATTTGCATATATATATTTTTGGGGGATGATTTAGAAGACTTATGTACTGGGAGCAGCAGATGGTATAATGATTACATTGCTGGACTCCCACATAGTTGACCACGGTTCAAGTCCCAGAACTGACTGCTTAAAACTAATGCTGTACATATGTATGCGTGTCCAAAATCCTAAGAAGAAAGTAGAGGAGAGGGGATTACGGTGTGGCCATTTTTCCTGGGGGGTTTCTTACTTTCTGTCTCTCCGTCTCTGTGGCAAGCACATGTGCCCTATAGCAAAAATCTCTCTTAAAAAAGAAAAAAAAGATGACAACTTGTGTATTTCCTGTGATTTCCTCTGAGTATGCAGATTGGTCTATTGATTTACCTACATAGATCTGGTTAGAAGAGTGGGCCATACGTTGTTTGGGGGATTTTCATGTAACCTTTAATAATTTTGTAAAAGATTTATTTTTTTAACTTTATGTATGTATGTATGTATGTATTTATATGGAGAGGTTTTTGCTATAGGGTGTGCACGCTCGCCAGAAAGACGGAGAGACAGAAAGCAAGAAATCACCCCCCAGGGGGGATGGCCACGCCGCAGTCCCTTCTCCATTCTCCTCCCGGGATCTTGGGCACGCATGCACATGCGCCTGGCGTGAGTTTAAGCCACCAGGTCCGGGACTTGAACCACGGTCGGTTACATGGGAGTCCAGCAACATAGCCATTACGCTAACTACTGGTCCCTATTTATTAACTTATTTTAATTTGACCAGAGAGGGACAGAACATGAGAGAAAGCAAGCAAGAAAGCAAGCCTCCAGGTCCAGGACTCAAACCATGGTTGGCTATGTGGGAGTCCAGCACCCTTAACCCCAACGCCACTTGCCAGCCCCAATAAAAGTTTTTAATAACCATTTACACTGTTAACATGTTATCTAGAACAGTTTTTTGAACATAAATTTAAATAGTTAAACATATTTCTCCTCACACTTGACTTTTCATTCTACTTTCATTATTGGACTTTTCATTTCACCACCATCATGGAGTTTAATCCCAACACTGGAAATTTTTATGCTTGATACTATTTACTTTTACGTATTTTCCTTCAATAAAAATCTGCATATATAGTTAAATGGCTAGAGATAGTAAGACTGTAAATGTTATAATTTTCTATATCGAGTTGTTATTATTAGTATATAGATGGTTAAAAGCAGTGTCCAGGACTCGAACCTCAGTCAACTACATGGAAGTTCAGCGACACAGCCATTATGCTAACTGCTGGTCCCGAAACTTTTGTTTTTTAATTTGCCAGAGGGCATGTGTGCTTATTGGAGAGACACAGAGAACGTGAGAAAACATCTCTTTTCTGGATTTGGGCATGCATGCTCACACACACAGAATGTTTTTCAAGTCACTGGCCAGCAGTTGAACCATGCAGTCAGCCATGGGGGATCCAGCCACCTTAACCACCATGGTACTGTCTGGCCCAGGGAGTGCTTTTTCAAAATAAAAATTTTAGGGCAGTGAAACTAAAGTATTTAAATTCCTTCTGAGTTATCTGGAAAAAAATTATATAATGACCTATTGTCAGATCTGTCCAGCCCCCTTCTAACTTGAAAAAACTATGTCTTTATGGGCCAGCCAGTGGCATAATGCTTAAGGTGGCTAGATTTCACATGATTGATTCTGCAGTTCTAGTCCTGGACCCAGCAGTTTGAGAATTGTTAGGTACGTGTGCTTGCATGCCCAGAATCCTGAAAGGAGAGAGAAATGGAGAAAGAATTGCAGTGTGACCATCTCCCATGGAGGGATGTTTTCTCACCACTATCCACCTCATCTTCCACACACTCATGCATCCTGTGGCAAAATTTAAAAAGAGAAAAAAAAGGATTCTGGTGCTTGGTAGGTTCAATGGCATGGAGCTGGTATTACAAAGTAGCCATCAGAAGCAGAGAGGAAGGTAGATGGGTGGGCATGTGCACAAAGACCTGTAGGCAGCCTCTTCCTTTTATAATGAACTCTTGAGAAGTAATCCCGTCTCATGAGAGCTAGAACTCACCAGGTCTCATGAGACATCAGTCATGTATTTGTGAGAATAATGCCTGTATGATCACCTACTAGGCTTCACCTTTTCCTACTTAATTAAAAATACTTTTGAGGGGCCAGCAGATGGCATAATGGTTATGTAGATGGACTCTCATGTAGTCGACAGTGGTTCAAGTCCCAGACCTGATGGCTTAAAACTCAACACTGGGTGCTTGTGCTCACGATGCCAAGAGGAGAATGGAGAAGGGATTGCAATGTGGCCATCCCGCCCCCCGTGGGTGATTTCTTGGTTTCTGTCTCTCTGTCTCGCCGGTGTGTACATGCACCCTATAGCAAAAATCTCTAAAAAAAATGTTTTAATACTTTTTTATTTTTAGTTTTCACTTTTTAAATTTGCCCAGCAGGCACATATGCTTGCCAGAGAGAGAGGGAGAAAGCACCTCCCAACGGGGCATGGTGGTGGTACATTTTCTTCTCCATTTCATTACCCTGTCAGGACTTTTGAACAGGCTCACACACAAACCCAACATGTTTTTCAGGCTGCCAAGGCCAGGATCTAACCATAACACACTTCTGTGACTCTCTCTGATGTATTGACTGAAATTTGTCCTCTAGTAATTTCTCTAAGAATTGTTTATGATAGCCAATAATATATTCTCTGAAGTCTTAATATATTCAAAATGTGGGGACCAGCAGTTAGCATAATGGCTATGTCGCTGGATTCCCATGTAGTCGACCGTGGTTCAAGTCCCGGACCCAGTGGCTTAAACTCAACGCCGAGTACGTGTGCGTACGTGCCCAAGATCCCGAGAGGAGAATGGAGGAGAAGGGATTGCAGCGTGGCCATCCCTTATATATATATATATATGTATGTGTGTGTATGTGTGTATTCAAAATATGTTATGTGTACTTTGCCACTTACTTTAAATGACAGTGACTAGGCATAAGATTCAGGATCAAAATGTCCTTCCATGAGGATATTACAGGCATTACTTTGCTGTGTAATTGCTGCCATGAAGAAGCTTGACTGCCCTATTCCCCTCCCTGTCTTGTGCTCCACAGAAGTGACTAGATTTTATCTCTTTTTTCCATGTTTTGGTGAATTTTTCTGAATCTTATTTATGGGTTCAATTTTTTTCTAGATCTTTCTTCCCTCCTCCACTGTTAAGGGCTTAATTATGTTTCACTACAAATTACACTGAGGTCCTAAACCCTAGCCCTAACCCACCAGAATGTGATTTTATTTGGAAAAAAGTTAGTTGCAGATGTAATTAGTTAAGATGAAACCATAGTAGGATGGCTCTTTATTTCATTATGATTGGTGTCCTTTAAGAAGATTGGTAGACCAGGCACACAGGGAGAAGGTCATGTGATAACAGGCAAAGATTAGAGTGATGTGTTTCCAAGCAGAGGAATGCCAAGAATTGTTGTAAAACACCAGCAGTTTTATCTGTCAGCCTGGACCTAGGATGGGGATATAAGGAAGAATGAATGAATTGGAGGGCAGAGCCATGGTACAGAAGTCAGAGACAAAAGAGGCCCAGAATGTGAGGCTGCCTCTTTCTTGGTTCTATTACGTGGGTCCAGAGGACAGAATGTGGAGCCACATGGGGTTATGTTCAGATTTTGAAAGGTAATTTAATTTGCTAGATTTTGGACCTGCAACCTGTTTTTCTTACTCTGCCTATCCTACCATTGTATTTTAGAAGCAGATTAATTTATTGGTTAGTTTTCATGGATGCATGGAAAGAAATTTTGCTCCAGATAAATCACACACTTGGTCTTACTCATAACTAATTTAGATGATGAGATTTGAGATTTTGAATTAATAATATTTAAAATTTTCTTTTTAAGCTTATTTATTTCATAAATGAGAGAAAAAGACAGAGGTTGCAATAGGGTTCTGATACTAGTCATCTTCTGCCAGCTTGGAACATGGGTACACTCATAGTTGGTACACTCAGAAAGGTCTCCAGTGTAAGACAAAGTGTTACCATGAGAATTGGCCTCAGAGAGCATTGTGTTGTACTGCTATGCCACTGTCCAGCCCTAGTTTGATAGTATTTAGAGATTTTGGACTTAGATTTGATGAAATGGTTAGAAATTTTGAGGATGTTGGTATTAGTAAATGTACAATATTATGCACATGGGAAGGACATGTTTTTTTGTGGGGCCAGTGGGCAGACTGTTATGGGTTGAATTGTATCACCAAAAAGATTGTGTTTAAGTCCTAACCCCTGATACCCCAGAATGTGACTTTTATTTGGACCTAGGTTAGTTGCAGGTGTCATTAGTTAAAAGTGAGTGTTTATTGGAGTAAGTTGTGACTGGTATCCCCCCCTTTTTTTTTCCTTAGAGAAGCTTTTGCTATAGGGCACATGCACTTGCCACAGAGACAGAAAGCAAGGAATTATACACACTCCTGCACCCGCTGCCCCAGAAGGGATGACCATGCTGTGATCTCCTCCATTTTCCCCTTGGAATTTTAGGCATGCACACATAGGTGC